GGGGGGCACGCAGCCGTCCAGGTCCGAGGTTATCCCCTCTCTCCCAGCCGGCCGCTCTGCCAAGTTCCTTTGCCCACGTCCCTCTCAGACTTGGCACGAGCTCGGAGCACCCGCAAACGGACTCTTCTGTTTATTTTTTATTTATTGTTTTTATTCTGTGTGTATAAGTGTATGGCCTGCATGTATGTAAGCGCACCTGTGTCGTGCAGTGCCCACAGAGGTCAGAGAGGGGGTCAGATCCCTGGCACTGGAGTTATGAATGGTTGTTAACCACCGTGTGGGTGCTTATTCGAACCCGGATCCTCTGCTCTTCGCTGAGCCCTCTCCAGCCCTGTAATTTCATTCTTGACAGCTGAATAGATTTCTCTCGTGCACATGCACCGTGCTTCCCGTTGATGGACAACCAGGCTGGCTCCATCGGGGCTGGTGTAGTATGTGACTCTGCGGCACCTGACCTAGAGCCCTTCGGGTGGCCCAAGAGAGACCGGAAGTAACTTCGTCCAGGTCTCCGAGGTTTGGGGAGCGAAGTGCTGATTCCAGAGCTGTTTATGGCCCCAGCTGCCCACTGTTTTCTTTCAAATCACCCACTATTATTTGTTTGTTTGTTTGTTTGTTTGTTTCTTGGTCTTTTTGAGACAGGGTCTCCCTGTAGCCCCAGCTGTCCTGGAACTCACTCTGTAGACTAGGCTGGCCCTGAACTCACAGATCCGCCTGCCTCTGCCTCCCCAGTGCTGGGATTTAAGGCATGCACCACTACACCTGGCTGATTGATTTTTACTGTATGTGTGAGTGTTTTGCTTGCATGTGTGTAAGTGCACCTGGGTTGTGCACAGCCGGGGGAAGTCAGGAGAAGGCTTTGGAACCCCTGGAACTGGAGTTATAAGTGGTTGTTAGTGACCATGTTGGGCGCTCTGCAGCCAGTGCTCTTAGCCATTGAACCATCTCTCAAACCCCTCATTTAAACACTTTTTGGGGCCAGAAGTGGTGGCGCGCGCCTTTAATCCCAGCACTCAGGAGGCAGAGACAGATGAATCTCTGTGAGTTCAAGGCCAGCCTGGTCTACATAGTTCCAGGCCAGCTTGGGCTACAGGGAGCCCCTGTCTCAAAAAGACCAAACAAAACAAAAAAAATGTATTCTTTGGATGTTGGTGATTGAACCCAGGGCCTGTGCATTTCCCATGATTATAAATGCCACTTCCCCCAAAGAACCTTTCACTGATCCTCCAAATAGATCCAGTTCTTGCTGAGCATAAATATTGACACGTATACAGTATATATTTTCATCTTTCTATCAATCATCTATCTGTATCATCTATTATCTATCATCTATTACTTTTCAATTGCAGAGTTCCATAGGTCATGTTATGGATATAGACAGGTATAACTATTTCTCTAAAGATAAAAACTTAGACAAATTATATATTTTTTAATATTTTTATTGAATTTCTGTGTATTCCATACACAACATCTCAGTCATCTTTATATCCCTTCCCATCAGCACCCTCCCATAGCCCCCCCCACTGGAATTCATACATTCTGCCATCGATGTTGAGGCCTATCAAGTCAAGTTAGTGTCCCCAGACGTCCCTCAGTGTAAGTTCATCCACTGAGGTCTATTCAGCCTATCTGGAGTCCCTCCCTTTAAGATCAGCTCTTCTTTACCCAGTAGTAATAATCAGCTGCCAAAAGTTCTTCGGCTAAGATTAGGGCCTGATTTTATACGCTTTAATAAACGCTGTGATCTAAGCTCCTCCGGGGAAAATCCTGGGGCATTAACCCTTTTATGCTCCGCAGGCCGGCTTTAAACTCAGTGACCCTCCTGCCTCGGCTTCCTCAGTGCTGGGATTACAGCTGTGTACCACTATGCCTGGTTTTGTTTGTGAGTTTTCGAAGCCAGAGATGTAACCATGGTGCGGCTAACCTTGGAATTGGTGGATGCCCACAGCACATAGCTCCCAGGCTAGTCAGGCAGCTGTAAACACTGAGTCAGTCAACTGAGCTTTCCTGTCTCTACCAGTCACCAGCCTCTCTACTTGCATCTTGGTTCAGCTTGGCGGCTAGCTTGTTTTCAGTTAACACTCACTGAGGAAGCATCCACCTTCCTGATGCTTGCTGCCACACTGGATGACAGGAATGTGTCCAGGGAGTCGGCATCAGGAAGAAACAGTGTTCGTGATAAAACGACACTGTTGGTCTCTAACAAAGGGACCTTTGTGCCCTCGGGACGGGGTCAGGAACCTTCCCGGGCAGGGCAGTTGTGAGGCCAGGAGGAGGCTGTGGGTTCACCTAGATTAGGGCTGCTCCAGTGATGGTGGTGGGGGTTAGGAATGGAGGTGACACCAAGCTAGAGGCTGGGGCTGGAATGTGAGGAGTCAGGGGTCAAAATGCTTTTTGCATGTCTGTTACTAGGCAAAGCATGGAGAAAGCCAGGGGTTGGGAGGATGTGTGACCTGAGGGGCCCCAGGTGCTCAAGGCTGAGCATCGGGGAAGCTACCTGTGGATTCAGAAGTCAGGTGCACCTAACAGTTGCTCTCTGAACAAGTGGCCCATTTTCATATCAATGTAATTTAAATTCATTTAATTTTATTTTTGTTTATTTTTTACGCGTGGGAATGTATTGCATGTAAGTGCACCCGTGTCGTGCAATGCCCGGAGGTCAGAAGAGGACGCCAGATGCCCTGGGACTGGAGTTACGGTCGGCTGTAACCCGCTATGTGGGTGCTGGGAATGGAACCCGGGTCCTCTGCAAGAGCAGCCAGTGCGGCTGAGTCATCTCTCCAGCCTCTCATT